CACCACAACTGTGGCTAAAATTCCTCTTGCTGCACCAGAACAAGAGCATGAAACAGTTCCTGTTGAGGAAAAGAAGCCAAGAAAGAAGGTTGGGAAACCGGAAGAAGAGATAACGAATGCCGACGAAATTCATCTCTCAGCACCAGGACAAGTGTTGGATGTTACCACAGATTACCAAATTACAGTAGAGAGGACAGACGAAAAGGAGACGTTTGCGAAGAAGCGAAAGAATGTTCCAAAAGCGCTGTTCATACCTTCTGAGATCAATTCACGTTTTGGTGATAAAAGTATCCTTGTGTCCGAAACATCGATCACAACTCAAGTCACATCGCGAGAAGCCAGTGCTGAAATCGAAGCAACTTCTTCTCCTTATAAACCACAGTCGGCAACCATATCAATGAAAATAGATTCTGCTAGTCGTTTGACATCTCGCGGTCCAACGCCAATTTCTGCCACTGAATTCACATTTAGTCAACGTTCCGGATCTGATGTTGGAGAGAGGGATGAAACTATTGAAGCTGTCGTCAAAAAGCCGAAGGATCGAAGTGGTCTCCCACCATTGCCGAAAGATAAAATTCAAGGAGAAACGATCATTACTCGGAGCGAATCAACCGAAAATGCGCAGATTTTGTGTAGCAGTGCTTCACAAGCCGAAGTTGTCTTGTCTCTGCGTGAATCACCGGAAAGTGGCATAAAGAAAGCTCGTGCGCTCAGGAAACCTCGAAAACCGGTTCCTACTGCCGACGAAGTGGTCCATGCATTGGCTGAGTATTCGTTCACTGAAGAGGAAGTTAGGCTGAGTTTCAGTTTCCCCGTTCGCGTCACGTGTTCCTCGTCTTATGCTGTTGAAGAGCAAGTATCCAAGACGGCCACAAGAAAGAAGGTGAGTACGGCGGATAAGAAGAAAGCTGTCAAAAAGAAACCAACTGAGATAAAAACTGAGGAAACTGAACGTTCGGAGGACTCGAAACCTATCCTCAAGAGAGAAGATAAATTGAAAACAGTCTCCCAGGATACTGAAGTTTTTGCGGAGATTGCGAATAAGTTGTCAATTGCTTGTTCCGAATATATGCTGAAGGAATCTTGCGGTGACTCTACTATAGCGTCGTTCAGAGAGCCTTTAACAAGGAAGTTGAGGAAGAAGCAGGGAAAGGTTACAGACAAAGAGGGACCGATCGATCATGAACGGATTGTCACTGAAGAAAGCAAGATGGGAGCTCCTTCCAAATCAGTAGTGGATGAGGAAAGAACAACTCTAGAGGAAGAGTCGAAGAAGGAACGGAAAGTGGCAAAGCGCAAAGTTTCCGAAACTTCGGAGGACTCTGCTATTGCTATGAGCAGCGTTGCAGAAGAATCTATCGCGACGTTGAAGAAACCGCCAGTTGAAGTGAAATCATCAGATGCAATGATTTGTAAAACTTCGAAAGAAGAGATGCGTCAACCTGACGAAGAAGTACAGCTGCAGCTCGATCAATTTGAAGTTACTGCTGAATTCGCACTCAAAATAACGACGGCTGATGAAATTCAACCTTCAGATTCAGAAACTGTTACTGTAAAAGTGCCTCTAAAGCTTGGTGCTGAAGAGGTGTCATTGGGTGAAGTACAAGAAGATTCAGAAACGACAATTATTAGCGCAACAAGTTCTCGTAGATCTTCAACGATTTCAACTGATGAAGGTGTTGGCATTGTTCGACGGCAACGTAAGAAACGCGAGGGATTCGTTTCCTTACCAAATCAAGAATTCCAAGCTCTCCGAGGAGATACAGCTCGGATTGAATGCGAGCTCTTCAACGAGGAAGATGATGTTATTTGGATGATCAATGGTAAACCTATATCAGATGATTCACGTTGCGTTGAAGAATGCGATAGGTATATGCGGACGCTCATCGTCAGGAACTTGACTCCAAAAGATACTGGTACAGTTGTATCAATGCAAATTGGTGATCATTACTCAGAAACTGTACTGGTCGTTGAGGAGACTGCGGTCACCATCGACGAAAGATTGCCACAGCGATCGATTTGCGCGTCGTGTACAGACATAAATCTTCCGGTGAAGTTGTCTCATGAAGCTGAGAACGTAGTTTGGTTCTTTAATGGAAAGCCGATTGAAGAAAGTGATTCACTCTTGATCCGGACAGAAAACGATGCCACTACGCTTACGATAATAGACGCAACATTTGAGCATTCGGGTCGATATACGGTCAACGCCGATGGCGCCGAGTCATCCACACTGCTTGAAGTTCGTGGCAAACCTGTTTTAGTTGATGCTCAACTAAGCAAGGAAATCGTGCTGGAATCCGAGGAGAATCTATCATATTCGATTCCTATCCAGTCAAATCCTGAACCAACGATCGAATGTCTGTTCAACGGAGAACCGGTGACACGTGAACAAAGAATTCAAGCAGATTTGATCAATAACGTGGTCATAGTTTCAAAACGAAAACTAACAAAGAAAGATGCGGGTGAATACACTGTGAAAATCACTAACGAATACGGTGAAGTATTCGAAACGTTCAACCTTTCTGTTAAAGGTAAAATATTGAAGTTTCAAACCTGTTGCACACGAAAGTCGTATAAGGAAATATTTGAGAATGAAATGTCGCCTTATTTAACATTTTTAAGTCGCTGCAATTAAAAAAGGGAACTCACTATGTGAAATTCCATGTGAGCGATCACGAAGAATGTAAGTTAGTGTATGACTACGCTGAAACATCGAAAGTCGAACCACATTGAAAACATCTATTCGTGTTCCTAATTTTAACTTCGTACTAGGCGTGCGAGAATCCCTAAAATATGCGCACTGATTTTTCTGAGACTAGAAAACCTGAGTGATTAGATTTTATGAAAAGAAGAACGACGCTATGAAAATCTTTTCGTATTGGGTGAAGCATAGGAAATTTCGTATTTAAGTATTTGGCTCAACTACGCGACTGAGCGGTTTCTATAGACATGGAAAATGCCTTCAGGTACACCAGAAATTCCCCAAGAAGTTCGTCTGACTGAATCTGGTGAAGATTATTTGACTGTGGCCTGGAATGCTCCATCGGACGATGGTGGTAGCGAGATTACAGCGTACGTGATTGAAAAGAAGGAGTTCGGACGACGCAGATTCCACACTGTTGCTAAGGTTGTTTTCAGTCGTCTAAACGAGTGTGAATTTCAATCCCCTCATGTTTTTGCTGTCATTCGTATATTATCATTCTAAAGGAACGCCTTGTGTTGAAGCTTTGCGTTGGACTATCCGTGGCAGATTTTTAGGGAATATTTGTTCCTATTGAACTGATTGCCAATCGGAGTAAGCGAAACTCCGAGTTACAATTGAGAGTTTACACTAAATCAGAAATATTCAGGTTCCTGCATCGGAGACTAAATATGAAATTGGTGAACTCGAAGCAAATACAAGCTACGAAATCCGTTTGTCCGCAGTGAATAAATTTGGCGTTGGTGAGCCTACAGAACCAATCGAAACGAGTACAGTAACTCATTTCAAGAAACCTGTCATTGAAGAGGCACCACTGATAACAAATATTACCGATAAGGTAGGCATTTTTACTATGTTCTCTGAAACACTTACGCAAATTAATCGCTTCAATGCAGGATTGAAAGGAAAAGCGTGTGATACGTTCAGTTCTCAAGTGAGGCGATAGATCAGTCCTTTCGCGCCGCTTAACATTCATTTATTCAAGTTTTCCTTTTGAACAGATCTGGTTTTAAATATTGTGCCGCAGTTCTGATATCGCACCTATTGCATTCACTCCATCGTGCACTGTAAAAGGAGAGTGTAATGTCATGCGTCCTATTAAGGGGTGCAACCTTGAGTGGAATGATGTGAGCAAAACCGGTGGCTCCCCAATATACGGCTATGAAGTGTTCACTCGAAAAGACGGTTCCGAATGGATAAAACTGAACGATGAGATGATTTTCACTCGTCGATTTGTCGTCAAGAATCTTGAAGTTGGACCAACGTACGAGTTCAAAATCGAAGCAACCAATGAAGCTGGATTAAAATCTGATTCGAACGTTCCCTCTGAAACGCTCACACTTTCAAAGAAAATATGTGAGTTTTGAAAGAACATCTTTGTGTGTCTCGAACAACAAGAGCGTTAATTTCAACGCTATGATTAATTCTACTTTCAGTTAAACCCAGGAGGCAACTAAACGTTCCACGGGTGCTGGTAACCGGACCGGAAAATGTAACCGTTGAGTGGGACGAACCAGATGTTGACGAAGATAACACCACTTCCTATACCATCCATTTCAGATCTGAAGGAAGCTCTGTATGGTCAGAGGTAATATATCCTCTCATTCAGTCTTTCATTCTCAGAAGCAATAGGCTGGAAACAAAAATCAATCTTTTGTTTTAGACTTTTAAGCCTCTTTTGTTTGCTAGTTCGTCTTGTCATCGTTCCATGCATTTAGTGGAAGAAATATATGGTATCCGAAGAGTTTGATTCCCTTCATGAAATGATGCATGTTCTTCGCTCTAGAAGAAGCATGAAAACTCAATTTTCAAACGAATCGATTAATTCAGGTATCATCAGAACACTCTCCGACTCATATTGATTCACTGAAGGAAGGAGTGGCCTATATATTCAAAGTTGCACCTGTGAACGAAACTGGTATAGGAGAATTCTCTGAAGAAACACAACCTATTAGAATTATTGGTATGTTCATGCCTATTTTACTTCAGTATAAAGAAGGTATGGAACTGTAGAAGAACATATACATGAATTGAGCTGCTTACACTGCAATCAGTACATTTATCTCCTTCTACAATGAAGCAACTATGATATTGAGCATTAGGAATTTATTATTCTATTGCCTACTTTCCCTTGTTAGTAAGAATGAAGTTCAACTGATCGAAAGTATTAAGAAAAATTCTTGCCAACTTATTGCACTACTGCACGATAAGATGCAGGATGATACTAAAAATTGCTTTCATTTGAAACAATAAGCGATATCTACGTCAGATGAGAAAGAACCAGAAATAACCAAAGGCATCAAGAACGTCAGCGTGCCAAGAAAGAGAGAGCTCCGTTTGGAATGTCATGCAATGGCCGAACCTTCACCAGAATACATCTGGTACAGGGATGGCGAAGAAATTATTCCTGCTGACGAAAATATCGAGGTAATAACTCCCATCTGATTTTAAAAAGTTCTTTCCAGCTGAATCAAAGAGACCTATTGAATTGAGTAATTTGATAGATCTTCCGGCAACTAGATTTGATGTATATGGACGATCATTCAACAAGTCTGTTTCTACGGCTATTTTGCAGATTATCAATGAGGGATACATGAGTGCGCTAATTGTTCATAAGACAGCTGCCAGTGATGAAGGCGAATACACATGTGAAGTTGTAAATAAACATGGCTCACAGAAGTCTAGCGCTAAAGTTACCATCACAGGTTTGGGGCTATCAATTATTGTGATTGCAAATAATGTCAAGTGTTGGTTTCGAAACACCTTATGAGTGTTCGTTTCAGAACACCTTCTTCCATACCTAGTTTTAGTGCCTGCATCACTCTGGAATCCAGCTCAACCAACAATGACTTTTGTGAAATTTATTGCATTGTGATGTTCACATTGTAAAATCATTCTTTTTGTAATGGAACAATCCAGATTCTCTGCAGTGATGGCTTGATAGATGTGATCTATGCTTCAAAGGATTGTTCAGCGAAGCAAATGCATCTAGTAATTATGCTTGCTGAAAGGAGTCAGAAATGGATTGATCATTTGAATGAGAATGCTGGAATGTTTGATCTGCCCTCAAATATTGGTCACCTTTAAGTGAATGTTCTTATTTTCAGAAGTGCGTGCACATTTCGAAGCATCCTTCCCTGAATACACGGAAATCGTCGAAGGACAAGATGTAACGTTGACGTGTCATCTATCCGATGCCGATGCTTCAGTGTTATGGTACCGAAATGGACGAAAGGTTATTCCGAATGAAAGAATTTCAATCAATGCAGATGGTACAGAGAGAACACTCACCATCGTTAAAGCAACAACAAAAGATAGTGGTGACTACGAATGTGCTACTATCGACGATAGGAGCAGGACTCGTGGTGAAGTACTCGTGAAAGGTCAGCATAATATGTGTTCGACTTGATGCCTTCCGTGTTGGAATAATTAATCAAGTTGGATTTGCTATTACCAACTGGTGTCCCCAAGTGAACGCAATAGTTAGGTCCACTCAAACTGCTTGAGAGAGAACTGAGCAACTTAGAACTAAACAAACTTTTTCGAATAATTTGCATTGTTCGGCTGGGACCTAACTGCTTCTGAAGATTCCATAAACACTGCAAATATTTCATCGTAATAGCTAACAAAGTGGATGTGTAGCATCAGCGGTAACTAATATAAAATTAAGTAAGTGAGAAAAAATGACCAATTGTAACTAAGAAAAGAGTAATTTCTCGCAACAACGACCCTCTTGAAATTTCAAACTCATATTAGCTGTTTTCCAGAAGAAGAACCGCATATCAAGGTAGGACCTCAAGATCAAACGGTTACAAAACTTGGCGAACAAGTGATTTTGAAATGTGAAGCAACGAAGCCGATAAGAGGATTTGTCAGATGGTACAAGAATGGTCAAGAAATTTGGCCACAACGTCATAAGACCACAATGAGTACAGACGATAATATTGCAATACTTGAAATTGAAAACTTCGACGCTCATGATATCGGCGAGTACTACATTGCACTATCCGACGACGAACGAAGTGCTCCAGCAGCACTTGATCTCAAGGTTCCACCAGAAATACAACTACCAGAAAAGCTTGAAAAGGAAGTCGTACTTAATGCCGAGAAAGATCTAGAAATTTCACTTAACTTCACGGCCTATCCAGCTCCGAAAATTGAATTCGTCCACAATGAAAAGCCATTGGAGATGGAGCGAGCTCGATTGGAAGTCTATGACGATAGTATATTCCTCCGAATTCGTAATATGAAAAGGCGTGATTCTGGTACTGTACGGATTATTATGCAGAACGAGCATGGAAAAACTGAGAAGGAGGTTCATGTTAGTGTCACAGATGTGCCGTCAGAACCAAGAGCACTGAGCACTTCGAATGTAACGTCAAATTCTGTACACCTTGAGTGGCTGCCTCCATTGGAAGTGAATGGTTCACCGTTAGTTGAGTATATAGTTGAACGAAAGACAGTAGGGACAAGTAGATGGCGTCATGTTGGCAAAGTGAATGCACGAAAAGAATCATTTGTCGCAGAAGATCTCTTCTCGGACGAGATGTATGTTTTCCGAGTGTGTGCTGTTAACGAGATCGGTGAAGGACCACCAAGTGGAACGGTCGATGTGATCACCCTGAAAGACGCCGAGGCTGTCGAAGAGGAGATTCCTAAACCATTAGCGGATATAGTCCTCTTGGACACTCCCGGGAAACCACAGATTGAACTTTTAGAGAATGCAAAAGTGCAAATCTCGTGGAATGAAGTCATAAGCGCAGAGAGGTATGACATCGAAAGGAACACCGTAACCGAGCCCATGTGGCTCGATATCGCAACCTCTGATCGTACAACATTCATTGACCGTTCCATCACCAAAACTGATGTATACTCGTATCGTATTGTTGCTAAGTCTGAAATGAGAACGTCGAATCCGAGTGAACCATCTGAAGCATTGAGCATTTCCTTACCCGAAACAGTAGCTGAGGAACGTCCTGAAGAGGAACAGAACCATGTTGAAGATGAACAGCATGAGGAAATTGAAGAGGCTAAACCAGAAGCGGAAAGCGAGATCGTTCGAGAAAAGCCGACCGAGGAGGGAGCGAAACCTAAAAAGAAAAAGGTCAAGAAAGAAAAACTTGAGAAATTCGCCGAAGAAGATAAAGACCTCGGTGCGCAAAAAGTCGCAGTGGAACAGGAAACATTAATACAGGTTGATGAAAGATCGACTGAGATCAGTATGGCCGTCTACGGTCATGAAGAAGAAACTTCGCGGAAAATTGAAGAGGCGAAGGAAGTTCAACAAGAAAAACCTGAGTTGGTGGAGGAACAGCCTGAGGAGAAGAAACCTGAAAAGAAGAAAGTTAAGAAGAAGATCTCCCCAAAGAAGCCAGAAAAGGCAGATGAGGAGCTGGAGAAATCTAAGGCCGAAGAACGAGAAGTAACCGAAATCAAGGACCAGAAAGATATTCGCTCAGAAGAAATTAAAAAGTCGCATGAAGAGCCGGAAGAAAAAGTCAAAACCCCTGAAGAAAGAGAGAAAAAACCTGAACTTGCGGAGAAGCCCGAGGAAGAACAAAAAGCTACAGAAAAAGTGACGAAGCGGAAACAGAAGAAAGAAGCTGCTGAAGCGGATAAAGAAGAAAAATCCAAAGAAATTGAACCGAAGAAGAAGGAAACAAAACTGAAATTANCTTCAGAAAAGACCAACATACAATTGGCATTAAATTGCAAGGCCCAGTTGAAGGCTCAAATCGAAGGAGACTTTGATAGTTGCAAGTGGACAAAAGACAAACAAACCCTATCAGATCAGTCATTCACAACAAATGAGAAAGAATCTGTTTTGCACATTGAAAACGTCACTGAGAACTCATCCGGAAAGTACACATGCACAGCTGTCAACAAAACGACAAAATCATCCATTGATTTCAATGTCACTGTTACTGGTAACATACTAATCCTTCAGTTGGCATTCAGCTTATGTGTATGCGTAATTCATAATCAATCGGAATATGAAATAGTCTTTAAAAATTAGTGAAAGAAGTCTTCAATAGAAAACCGCTCAGTATCTTTGATTGTTAGATTAATGATTGTCTTCAGTGTAAACATTTTTCATCATCTTTACCCTTGCATTGATTTTGTTCATTTAGGGTTATCCCCACAACTATACTTTGAATGTTTTGAACTTCATTTCAGACGAGCCCAAAATTGTGTTCGATAGCAAGTCCATTGAAGCGAAAGCTGGTGAAACACTGAAAATTTCTGCTCACGTACATGGTCTACCACAACCGAAAATCTCTTGGACAAAAGACGGCTCGCCGGTGAAAACTCTTAAAAACGCAGTGGTTGCCTTCAAAAACGGCGATGCTTCAATTACAGTGAAGAAATGTGTACAAGAAAACAGTGGTACTTACATACTTTCCGCTGAGAATGAAGTCGGTAGATGTCAGGACGAAGTGAAGGTTAAGGTCCAAGGTAAGAATGCATTCTATGCAATCAACTTTGTAAACATATCTTGCGAACCGTAGCCAAACAAATCTCAGCAATATTCTAACGTGAAATTCTTTACAGTTAGCTGAGTGTGAATATTGCTATTACATTTGATTGCCTTCAGATGTACCTTCCGCACCTATTGGTCCACTCAACGTAGCCAATGTTACTTCTTCATCGTGCACATTGTCGTGGAAACCACCGAAAAACGATGGAAATGGTAAACTACTTGGATACTGTATCGAGAAGCGTGACGCAAAGCGTAATGCATGGGCATTTCACACAAGAACATCCGAAACAAGAACTGAATTAACTGGTCTTGCTGAGGGAATCAAGTATTATTTCCGCGTTACTGCAGAGAATGCGCTCGGCAATGGGCCTGCTTTAGAAACAGAAAATGTGGTCGAACTGAAGAAGCCAATTGGTACGTACCTTCTAGCATTCAGCAGTTGAATCAAATCAATTCCTTGCAGCGTCGTGTTCTTGGCCGTTGTCAATAGCCGCTACAATTGTGATTCCTTAGGAAGTTATGCCTGAAACTTCCTTCTTCCGTTCGGATCTCATAATTTTCTAGTAATTCCAGAAAATTTCAGAGAAGCCAAAATCAGCACCGTCTAAACCGGCGGCAAAAGAAATAACGGATCATTCGATAAAGATCTACTGGAGCCCAGTCACTGGCGATGGTGACGTATCCTACAATATCGAAATGAAAGAAACCAAATCGAAGCGTGCTTGGACACTCGTTAATCAACAACCTATTAGCGAATGTGAAGTGACGGCTGACAACCTGACACCTGGCAAAATTTATGAGTTCCGTGTTGCTGCCGTCAACGAAGCTGGATCCGGACCACTGTCTGAGCCTTCGGATGCGATTGAATGCGTTGAGAAGAAAGGTACGGTCTAGGTATTTGCACATGGTAAATTTAATCAGGTTCAGTTGTTGACAATGACCTCCTTCGTGATTTTTCCTTAGGCACTTGTTCTCAGTTCTCTTGTCTCCGGATTCTCCATTTATTCTTCTTTGGGACAACCAATTTGCTACTCAGATTGTGATTTCTTAAGGTGCCGCTTCTCTCAATTCATTTTAGCCGCAGAAGCATGCGTTGCATTATCGAATGACACATAAGGAACGTACATTAGATTTGTAAACAGTGTTGAGCGCTTAATCTGCACATAGTACCAATGAGACCATTGAAACTATTACTAATCTGCATATAAATCAGAACCCGAATAAATGAACTGTTCCATTCAATACGTGCTTGCCATGCGATATTGAAATGCAAATAATCCAACTCATTGTGAAGTTCAGTTGAATTTAATTGATTGTAGCAGTTGAAATTCAGAGTTTAACTGAAACTGAATGATGTCGTAAGAGTGCAGTTCAAGTGAAAGGTTTACTCAGAGAAGATATAGAAGGATTCTTGCGAATTTGAACTGAAAATAAAATTATCTTATTCAGAACCGCAAAAACCGCAGTTCACAAAAACGCCCGAAAGTGGAGTTGGAATTGAGCAGAAGAAGATCAAATTAATCGCCGAGTTCATCTCTGAAACAACGCTAGAGGTGCACTGGTTCAAGGGAGATAAGGAAATCTACCCGAGCAACAGGCAATGGATCGAAACGAGTGAGACCACGTCGACGTTAACAATCGCTGAGCTGCGCGAAAATGATCAGGGCGATTATAAGGTAATTTCCTATGATAAATGGTGTTGATTGTTGGCACAAATGAAATGCAAACAGAATATCTCATTTGGTTACAAGACAAATAGACTTTCATGAAGGGTCACATTGATGCTGGTGCATGTCATTTGTATAATACATCTAAACTGTCTAATTTCTAGATAGTGTTAAAGAATGCGAATGGAACGACTGAGCACAGTTTCAAACTAGAGGTCGATTCGGTGCCACAAATCACAAGACCTGAAAAATATGCAGAGGCACAACTTTACAATCAAGGCGAAGATGTTAAACTTCGACTTACGTTCACTGGTGAGTGAGTTTGATTGGTTTATTTCAATGACTCGCTTCGTCAAATAGGCTAATTTACCCTTAAAATGCCATGGAATTTTGTTCCGCAAAGGTACCTTTTCATCGTTACTTCGTTTTGTAGGTGTGAAAAGAACACAATCGTGGTATCAGTCAATGCATTTACGTTGACAATAAAAACTATCATCGCTTTCTTCATCAATAAAATGAATAATATTCAATAAGGCGTTAAGTGATGATCAACAAACGATTAACCAACAGTAACACTTCGTTTGCAGAGCTAGAAGAGTGCAATTCAGAGAATCGACGTTGCGTTCAGAATTAGTCTACGATCAAGCTTTAAGCCTTTTTCATCTCATTAGCATAAAATCTAAATGCTAGCTACATAGACTTGCGCAGATTCTCAAGCAAGCATAGAATCATCATTTGGATTCGTCACATGCTCAGAAATTATTTTCATCTGATCCATAGTGGTCATTGTAGTGATTCAAGCATCCTCTGAGCTATTCGCATTACAACTGTTGACGCTAACCATTCATAAAAGCCCATTCTGCGATCGATTCAACTATACTATATTGTCGAAACATTTCATCCATCCGACTTTTCCTGAGACTTCAAGAATCTGCTGCACTTTGCAATTCTATATTATATACAATGAAAAACTGTTAACCCCACCAGTTGTCGTTTATTGGTAAAAATGATATGGTAAAAGTTTGTGGCAGCTGTGAAAATTGTATCTATAGAGTGGTCTTGTTGTGCAGTCGAAACACCTGTCTCCCACTGCATTATACAACGCCGATTCAGTGAAAGGAATAATTCAATTCAAATAGTACATACGATGACAATTCAAAATTATTAACACTTCGTTGTTGCGAGTGTATTCGTCGTGGAGTTATTAATTATGATATAAGAATAACATAGAGTAATATTAATAATAGTAATAATAATAATAATAATAACAAGTGAGTGCAGTAGTTCGAAAATGCAATCATTTTTTTGAGTGAGTTGATCGAATCAGTCAGTCATCATCTCTGTGCAACATTGATTCAATAGCTTGTTCTTGTCGTGCAAATTCGGTCTTAGCTTGCTCAGTTTGTTGCTCGTCTTGTGCTACTTTTATGAAGTTATCCACTATAATCGTAATCGGTAACGCCAACACCAATACTCCACACATTATTGCTGCTGATGCGATTATTTTGCCCACTGCAAAAACAAATTTCGTCATTATTCTTTGCGAAACCATTGAGAGATTACAATCAGCAATAACTGATAGAGTGGTAATATGAGAATGGTGTGACTTGCACGTAGCAACCAGAAAACATTGCACGAAAAGATTTACTCGTAGTTGCTGGTACTGCATCACCATAACCAACCGTCGTCATTGTCACAATACCTGAAATCTGTTGTGCCATGCAATTTTCGAAAAGCGTCTAATTTAACAGCAGCAAACAATTATATGACCAGAGCACATTGGTTCCAAAAAAAAGCGGTTACAGCGATCAAACTTACACCACCAATACGCGGCTGGTATGCTGGTGAAAGGAGTGCCTTCTTCGTCCTTTTCGAGAAAATAAATCATCGTTGAGAAGAAAACAACGCCAGTCAACAGAACGATTGTCATCATTTGTAACTGTTTCTGACTGCGTTGCAAAGTCATTCCAAACGTCTGCAGACCCGAACTGAACCTTCCCAACTTGATGATACGTATCACTCGAAGAACCCGTAGTATACGAACAACCAGAAACGCCCATCGTAAATCACGTAGTTTCTTATCATCCACACCACAGAGCGTTAGCAGTAGTTCCAAATAGAATGGAACAATAGCCATTAGATCCACCAAATTCAGTGGTTTCAATGCAAAGCGCAGTTTTCGTGGTGCAGCGAATATTCGTAGACAATACTCAACCGTGAAGAAGGCTATGCATATCCGTTCAGTAAAAACAAATGCCGGATGCTCGACACGCATTTCTTCGACCTTTTCAACCACCGTTACCGTTCCATTTGGTAATACTATTGTTTCGTTATGTGGCGCCATGTAGTGGGTCACCTGAAGCATTATCGCATGACGATGAGGAATTTCGCATAATCAGCTGATGGCTAATGAGTTAGCTTTTTGTCATTTGTTGCATATCAGCAACAGCTGACGCTCTTTTTTCCTTCCAATTCTACTGCAAGCATCATCTGAATGACGTCGGAGAATGCGTGCAGTTGTTCACTTCAATAAAAAAATCTGATTGTTGCCATTGCACAAAGCATTGTCACGTTTATCAGTGAGATATTGATTTATGTAAGTCGTTTACGCTNTTTTCACAACAACACAACAGCAAGACCAAGTACCTGGAAGTCGGGAATGGTACCAAAACTGAGCCCCATAACAGAAATAGCGACAAAAAGTGTTGAAGATAATTCGAAGGCTTTTGACTGCATCGATGAGCCAGGCTTCTCCAGAAATGTCCACATTCTTCGTCGAACCCTTCCGAACATTAAGTTATTGAATGTTGTATCGTCAACCTAAATCATTTTAACATTTCACTCCCTCTTTACCTTCAAAAATATACTTGCTTAGCAGATTCCGATAGAAAACGAATTCTCCATTGTTCGACTGAAACCAACTATATGTTTTGACGACTTTCTGAATCTATACAACCTTTAACTCACTCATTTACGTAAATCTGTCATTTGTGTTGAACTTACACTAGCCATCCGTCAATAGTGATGCTTTTGTGAAGCACCCACACTTCGTTTCTTAAAAATTTCAGAACTGAACAGCATGCCATATGACGTTCACTTATGAACACTAGAGTTGTCAAGCTTTATTAGTGAGGACAAGGGGAATTTACTGAAAGAAAGGATTAACGCATTGCGTATGAAATTTTGTTGCGCAGCGATTCGAGCATTATTCATTGCGAGCACTTAGAAGGACTCATCGAAAAAACACTCAACAGCAATAAGCCGTTTTGGCGCACCGTTCCGTAAATTTTCTAACTAGTGAAAACTTAGTGCAGTCATTCGTCGATTCAACAGAGCTTATAATCTAACCACTGCGAAAACGCATTAATCAATTGACACTTGACCTTTTCCTCCTCCTTCTCTTCGCTTTTATCCCTTGGTATTATATCGGCACAGCATGAGCCAACGTGATGATAGGAAATTCGCCAGAAATCTAATTCCGAAAGGAATGCCGCTGGACATACTTCGGGTGGCCGATGTATAACACCGGTTGCGTAGTACTGAAAAATGGCGTCGAAAGCGTGCGCCGATCGTTGGAAGTAGTAGGCATCCTCTGAGGCGATGTATGCATCGGCCACCTGAAAAGTGAGCAGATTAGGAATGCTTGCCTCTTTGTCAAATTAGTCTATGGAAGCAATATCTAAGCGAAACATTTCGTATGAGTCGACTGAGAATACGAGGTGAATAGATAAAATATGGCTAAAAGCATTTCAAAAGAACGATGTTCTTCAATTTGTGGACAATTCAAGGTGCTTTGTGATTATCACTTGATATTGCGTTCATATGAATGGAAGGTGGAAAAGATCGCTGCACCTTTAACCTGGTCACGTGATTGAGCTGAACAAATTTTGCGAGAAATCCAGACGGCTCTGCGCGAAGTATAGCATCAACGAGCAGTAAGTAGCCAGTTCCACCGATATTCAGCCTCAAAAACAACGGTTCTCCATCCAGTCCAACGCCCCCAGATGGTACAACCTGAATATCGATCAATTATTATATGCTCATGGTTTTGCTTTGTTGAAACTAAGGTGCTACTTAGCAAAGATAATGAATTGAAGCCAACCTGAAAGCAGTCGGTGCCACTCTTCCAGATTTCGTCAAGAATTTTTGCATTGCGCCTTTCGGCGCTTGACATAGCATCGGTTTTCTTTAGCGGTACCAACCGCTTTTTATGCTGTTGGGCGGCACTGAAATTTTCAAATTGAGTTATCGCAGATAATGTATGCATTCGGGTTGTACAATCATGCAATCCACAAATCTATGAATGTGTTTCAACTAGGAGATGCTATTGGAGGAGAAACAGCTGTGCGATTTCCACTGTAACCCAATGATTAGAAAATCAGTTCTGAGTGATAACATCGAGTGGGTGATATGCTGAACTGCAAAGCGATTGACATCTCGCATTTTTGCTAATCAATCATTTGTTGACGGCAGTCATTAAATTCATTGTTAGCAACAAATTCTCGAGTAACTATGAAAAACAGATACCATGAAATCACATTGTTCAGTGGCCGAAAATTAAATCAACGAGGTCCATTGCTTTTTGAATGATCCACTATTCAAAAAAATGATTGACTGCCTTTCAGTGACGATGAATGGTGACGTTTCAACAGGAACAAAAAAAANAAAAAAAATAACTGCACTCTACCCAATTGATTTCAGCACACTTTTTTCAGTGTGCCATTGGTATTAATTGTGGAATGGAAGAAAGCGTTTAATGTGGGCTTCAATAGGTCATAAATTTAATCATAGGCGATAAACCAATAGGTCATGATAATATGTGTAGGAGTTCATTGAAGCAAAAAGAAAAGAAACAAACGATCACGACGATTGACTGATAAATTGATTAAATGAAACAGTAAGGAAGAAAGAAGCCATCGTAAATGGCACGAGCTCACCCGCTGATCATGTTGCCGGTGACCCTGAAACGCTTGAAGCGTATTAGATTATCAGAATTTGGAATTGGGAATGTGACTGATTGACGGTGCTGCAACACCGCTTGAGAAATTGCAACTGCCATCGATAGTGTGGTTTATTATAGGTGTACAGAATTATTTAGATAATTTATTTTGTTTCACAGCTGACCGCAAGAGTCTATGCACATACAGAAACGAACTCAGACTTAAGCCACCAATTTGTAGTCATCAATCATTTTGAATTGAGGTAGTTTTTCATGCTCTCTCTTAATTCGATTCTCATGAATGGTCAATGGCATAGGCACTGACAGCATGAAGAATGCGTGCAACTTATTCAGAGAATTAGGATGATGATGATGATGTCGATTCTGAGAACATATAAGATTTTCAAGTGTTTAGAATTAACTTAGTCCGGAAATGGAGCAAAATGACGAGTTTTTTTCAGCGAATATGATAAGCGTGATAATGTGACAATGACGATAATGGCGATGGTGCTTGAACGTTTGTAGAGAGTTCCGCACTTCTTTGAGCGAGATTCACACTGGTCGCTATTAGAAGCACTAAATGCTTGACGATGTTGTTGGTGATAATGGAAGAAGGGTAATGTTGAGAAGTTAGCAACTACTATGTGAGTAGCAGCGGCGGCAGCAGCAGCCACAACATCAGAGGCCTGTTCCTTCTCATGGAACGCCTGAGGAAAGAAGAGTAATGTACGAGATGAGCGAAAAAATAGGTTAAAAGTAGTTTGAAAGGCATTAGCGTTAGCAGCAGCAATATTATTATGCTATTCGAGTTAGCATAAGCAAACTACATCAATTCTTAACTCTTAACGCATTTTTCTCATCATTGCGTTGTGTGCAGCATTTCCTTCAACACCGCTTTATCCACAACGTTCACAAGCTCCGTTCGTCGTTGTATGCTGCTCGTTCGATTCATTTGATGCATTCGATTCATTCATCTGATGCTTGTTCCTCCATTCGTTTTTCATTTCACTGAGAACGACTGCCAACGAACAAATGTGAAATTAAACGTTATTCATTTAAGAGCGCTGCCACCAAAATTTAGTTATGCGCTGTTGCATTTGGTTTTAATTTGGTAGCGTAACTTCGATGGACATCGTCATCTGACTTCGACAAAAATGCAGCCCATGAACGCTTCTTGTTCATGCATTTACTCGTCTCGTTTGCATCATGCTCCTATTGGCATGTAATGAGATGGGGTTGTTGGATAACGCACTTCCCGGAACAATTAATCAGTTGAGATTGTTCGTTGAACGCAGTTCTAGCCTGACGAAAAGCTGAGGTCGATTGAGGCATTGATTTGACAAAGCAGATCTGCTCTTGACGGATGGCGACACTACTCATGAAGTGCTGTCGTTGAAGTCCGCCTTGAATATCGCCTTGGAAACCATCAAGCATCTGCATTAAGGTATTCCATAAACACATCCATCCGATGGCTTAGGTGATTTCTCCGGCGCAGATTTCTTAGTGTGTTGGTTCGAAGACAAATTCAAGTGAAAATCGAGAATAAAATAGGAATTTGATGGTGAGCTGGATCTTATCATTCGAAAATATTTGGAACCCAAAGGTACTGGTATTGACAATCCACAATTCACGTACAATCCATTCCCATAAAATCGAGTAAATTTCAATCAATCGGTATTTGATATTATCGAGTCCATGAACAACTGAACAAACGATAATTCAGAATGCAAAGGCATTGTTCTTTGGATGGAAATATTTGTTCTTAATTTAATATTGGAGTTCCGACTTGTATTCTCAAGATCATAGCACTGTGTCAGAAAATTGCGTAGGGGATCCCATAGCGCTAAATTCTGCTGTATGTGGAACGAATTGTTGGACGACTTCTATTCGTAATCCATTGTCACAATGACAGTTATCTATGATTTTGCGGATATAAACAGTTTGCATAAGACTAGTTGTAAGCATAAGTGATCGAAAGTGAGAACTGAAATCTTAAACGCGGTAGGGAAATTCTTCTTAAAGATTTCGGGTTGAAATTTTAAGATATTCCTACGCGCAACCGATCCTGGATGAAATTTCGAGATGTCCAGGTGAACGAGTACATGATAACATTGTTTAATGAAATGAAACCTTGAGCATCCATACCACATATATTCCAGCTGTTCTGTTTACAAAGAATTCAAACACTTATCCGGAGAAGAACACACCAATTGGCATTCTACTAGTCAAATCTCTCAGAAAGACGTTCAAAAGGAAATTGCTTAGTTGAAAATGATCCGTTTGGTCTCAGAATCAAATCATTCTCTGAAGATAGGACAGTAGTAAAGTAAGTAGCAAAATTAGAACCCAACAAAAACGAAAAATAAGTTTGTGAAGTGCTCTGAAATAATGTAGACAAGAAGAACATATGTAAATCTAACCCAGTTTTTAGACAAGCGAAGCTGATGCTGGCACAAGTCATTTTGTAGCTTCTGATTGATGCCAACTTAATGATAGAATTTTGGAGGGGAAACCGGAAAAACGTTTAGCGAAGGCGGTCAGCTCAATTGCATTGCACTCCGTTCAAAGTTTCACTTAATTGCCAATGAAAGAGGGTCTTTCTATCAACGCACTCTTAGTTCATTAGTTCCGAATGAGACAGATATGCAGGATTGCCTCATCAAATTTAACTCATTCAATTTAACTCTAATTCATTAATCTGGTAGAAATGAGGAATAGCAGACGCTAAATTAGAACCAATATCAGCATTGGTGATATAAATTTGACAGACGAATCGATCAAGCGTTAATATGCACACGATTTGTAGCTTATCATTGAGATTCGTTAAGCCACATGAGTGCTTAGTCCGGTTGGATCAACTGCATCTGTAGTGAACGTAATCTGAGAGAAGTGACAGCCTTTAGTTTACTGACTAGAAACTCAAAGCAGCTGTCAGCGATGAATCTAGCCAGCTGAATTGATTGCTTCAACGAAAGAAATTCATATCACACAAACGGAAGGATTAACTGTTGATATGTATTTGAGTACAGTGGGAAATCCATCGGCATCTCTTAATGTCACACCTAGCGTTATCATTCTATGTAGTATTAAGTAGCATTTACACTTTCATGGCTAAGCGCATGCGGGATCACATTTTAAAGCTGTATGTCCTTGTTAAGCTCTTTTTTTCGCATTCGCCAATTCGAAAACATCTGCTCTGAGGTCGTTTTACAGCATCACATTCTACTCAGTTCCATACGATCCATTACTGATGCTTCCGTTATTCATGAAAACATCGTTTCAAAAGAAAATGTGTGTGAAGGTAGTTGTTCGCTTAAGAAGCACTCATCGGCAAATGATAATCGAACATAACATTAGTCAACCAGCCACAAACATTCACACATATATCACCATTGATTACGTTAACTGTCTGACGAAGTGGCAACTTATTGACATTTCGGATAAATATTCTTATCTTGGGTATTAATCAGAATGAGTTACATCGGTTGGTTATATTTGGACTTATACAACGGTCGGGGTACCGATCGAGCATTCAGATGATTTTGTCGTATCTGGGTGAGGTATCTAACAAACGCATAAATAGTCCTCGCTATGAACCTCAGCCTAAACCTAATCGCGAATGTAATCTATCGTTATGCTTCACTCTGATTGCTGTCAGTTATGTTAAATGCGTCCGTTCTAGAAAACATTTCAAAACCTTTCTTCAGTTTCGAAACGTTAAATGAACAGAGTAAAGAGGTTTACATCTTTATCATCATACACGGAACAGCTCTATGCAAAGCGATTCTCACTACTGAGAGATATTCATCATTTGTCATTCGCAGAGAAGATTTCGTGAAATGCGTAGACAGCGAGCGATTGTGCTGTGTCGGGGAGTTTATACGTTGTTTTTGTGCGTTTCTTTTCCCCAGAACATCAGCTGTTTGCAACTTAACATGGCTAACTGGACCTTAGTGATGATACCGGAAATGATTTCTGCTGTCAAAAGGAAGTCTAGCTAGCGAATTTATTTTCGAAATGTTATGAAAGCGTAAATCAGTTAAAATATCGGACATCTACATAATTATTAAGGAACAAATCCGATCGCTTTAGAAAATGCTTAAATGAACGATCAAAGAATATCAAAAATATTCAAACGAATGTATATCTGACACACCTTCAGTGAGGAGATCGCTCAGTTCAGAACTGCGTTCAGAACGGATTTCAACGTTTTTCTTTGAAATTAGCTCACTGAAGCTTCTTGTGAGCGTTCACGATTCGTTGAGCAGCAATAATTGAGGATAGTCGTTTCGAAATTTAAATGCGCAGAAGATGGGAGCAGTGAAATTATTGAAGTGGAAATAGGAGAAATTATTGAACACTGCGCTTGATACCAGCAACCGCCGAAGAGCAAATCCGGCTGCTTATGAATGTGAATGAGAAGAGCTACGAAATTTTAGTTACTAAGTTTGCTAATACGATGAAAACTAGCTAACTGCAACTAGATGATGATGATTTGTCGATGTTGTATTGATGTTTGTAATCGAAACAATAAGAGGTAATATGAGTACACAAACATAAGAACAAGACCACTTTCACTTATAACTGTATGCAATCATCGTACAAACTTTTGTCAGTGTTGAAGTTGGTGAGCGCACATTCATGTGCTTCATGTGCACGAAGAGGAATTTAATACTTCAGCTAAACATGGAACCAACATTCCAGCGCTGAGACATACTGACTGTTTCGATCGAGTGATCAAACCTGTCGCTGTCACAGAAAAATTTAGTGCAGTGCGATCCATTGCTGCTGTCGAATTCAAAGAAGTTAGATTGTTTCAACGTTCATATTTCGCATATATGCAAATGTCACAATCGTCATCCATGCTTCAGAAGTTTGGCATGCAATATATCCTTATCAAGTAACCTACTTATGAAACATAGCTTTANTGTTATTAAGTATGCGCGCTGTAGTGAACAGATCCTTGCTCTCTCTCACGGAATATTTTGATATCACAGATTTTTTCGAATTTTACTCCATAAAGTTGACAATTCTAGACATCTTTTAAGAAAATATGTTGCCGTCTTCACAAGATGATATTAAATAGTTCATATTGCAAAAATTGTGCACATGATTAAGTT